GATTTTTTATAGGTCGAGAGAATCAAAATTATGAGCCAAATTGAATAAGTATCAAAGTTGCATAACCAAGAGCCAGAGGGTGTAATAGCAATTCTAAATGGAACCAAATTACATTATGACATTCAGCTTGGGCCAGAAACGTGGGTGTGATTATCAATTTTGTCTAAGCCCAAGTCTCTTAGTGTTATTTATGATCCATAATTTCAAACAAAAAGATTAAGGTCCAGAATTCTTTGTAAGTTTACTCATGTCACCTTTCATTTTATGTGCCCTATAGTTATCAATTGGTCATTTATTAACTGAACACACTATAGGACAAAAACGATTCTGGGAAAATCACCATTTGACACTTATCTTATTGTATTATCAAAATAATTAAACAAAGAAACCAATCAACAAACAATACGAAAAAAAATTAGTCTTGTGCCTAATGGAAAAGTGTCACGCCTAGGGCATGCTGTTTTATTAAACAGAGAAAGACACCGAAGCTGACTCCGGTCGTCTTCTCTGGGAGGTTTGGCCGCCAAAGACGAAAACGAATACGCGAAAATGGACACCATGGACACTACTTCGAGCTGAACTGCATGCTGACCTCAAATCTGACCTTCAATTTTATTACAACATGATATAAATTCATGAAAATCTTGATAAAAAATTCAATACACAAACTCGAAACTCAAGAACATAGGTTAATCACGTCTAACGCCAAATGCTTGCGGATACACAAGTCTTCCAGATGCGATGAATATTCCTTTGTCATACTGGATCTAGTGTGCTGAGTGAGGGATATAAGAGACTTACCTGATTCACAAATCGTTCTTGACACTAATCTCCAAGAAAACTCAATCCGCTACTAATTGATGGAGAAGGAATATCCAAGGAACACCTTCGAATCTTCATAACAAAAGAACTGGTATTTGGATTCGTTGCTTGATGACGACTGATACAGAGTAGTAACTCAGTTACGCTTTCTTCAGTGAATGGAGGAACCAGGTGTGAGAGTCTCATTGCTATGGAGAAGAAGAAGGAGAGGATCTCTCTTCAGTTCCACGAGTTCTGAGAGAGCGGTGAAGATCCATGAAACATGAAGATGAAGCCTCCGTGAGAGTTTGTTATGCATGAAGGTGGGAGAAAAAGAGTGAGTTTGAAGGTGATGATGAAAGAGAAAGTGAGAGAGTTTTGTTGTTGTATGAACGAGAGAGAGTGTGAGTTTGTTGAATGGAAGAAAGAGAGAGAGAGAGAGTAAGTTTGTTGAATGGAAGAGAGAGAGAGTGTGTGTTATCATTGTTACGGAAGTGAGAGCGAGGAAGTTTTGTTGAGCTCCCTTGAGAGAGAAAGCGAGAGTTTGTTATAGTTGAGGAGAGAGAAGTTGTTACAGTTATGGTTTTTGTAACTGATTCGTAACTAACTCTCACTCAATGATGGTGATGGAGTTGTATGCAAAGCATGTTTCTTGCGATCAAGTGAATGAGAGAACAAGATAGTGTATGGTGCACCACACCCCTTAATCCACGAGTCTGTAATTTCCATTTTGAGCCATATCTTTCCATGATGCATGCACATAATGGCTTTGCAACAAGCTAATGATGTCAACCTTACGACAATGCTACGTGATATGAGGATTCCTGACCAAGTCCCAAGCAGCATTCGTGGCCAAGTAGCTCACTTCTTACCCTTGTATCTTGAGCATGGGTGTTCCATTTGATCTGATTTTAGTGTCGATAGAAAGATTGAAGATTGTATAACAACTTTCATGTTGTACTCGAGTCAAAACCACGCTTGTAACATGCTTTAAAATGGCTATGAAGTCATGGGATCATAACTGATAGAGGTACCGGTAATTTTGTTAACACTGTTAATTATCCATCAAAATTATATCCTACACTTCATGGTTTAATAACTTGAAATATAGAATTCTCCAGGACGAGGTCCCAAGATCAAAGTTGAAGAGAGAATTCCTCTGAACAACTTTCGTGTTGGAAGTTTCTTGAAATAACACCTGAAACATGCTCAAAAACCGTCACGAAGTCGTGATGTCAAAGCTGGCTATAGCAGCTAAAACTTCACTATGCTGAAAATCCAATCATCAACTCCACTGTTGTGATTTCAAAACCTCATAACTTTCTCAATAGTGATCCAAATGAGGCAAACTTTATGTCATTGGAAAGAGAAAAAATGATATAACAACTTTGTAGTTATCTACACCTTGATATAACGCCTGCGGCCACATGAAAATTGAGCTCAAAATTAGCTACCTGGCCATTTTGAAAACATTCAAAATTTCACTAAGTATATATATTCAAGAATTATGAACATTCATCTTCCACGCCTTATAACTCAAAACCTAAGCACTTTTTGAAGATAAGTCCTCAAGGACAAAAATAGAGTATGAAACTTCTTGTTTCAAATGAGCATGAATTTGCAACTTTCTGACCACACATGAATGAGATATAGAGCTGCAAAGATGGCTAGATGAACACAAAAACTGTTAAAACTTAGAAAAATTTCTAAGTATCCAAATTACTTAAAATGTAAGAAACTTCAATTTTGGCCGATTCTTTCGAATTTTCATAATAGCTTATCACATTTTCTCTCATTTTTACTTTTGACAATAATTTTGACCAAAATCCCATTTGGTCAACCTTTGACTTTCTGTTGACTTTTGCTTATACACACCCGGTCTCTTCTTATTCAATCAATCATGATTTTTCTGACAAAATATGGAGATAAATAGACCACATGCAGATGCTTTAAGACCAATAGAAGACCGCAAAATCATTTGAAACTCAAAGATTTAGTCATAACATGTCAATGATCAAAAACCCTAATTAGCAGCCGCAATGCAGGAGAAATTGATCAGAGCTCCAAACCCTGATTCAAATGAGGTATCTTGTCAAATCTCTTGAACCAATGAGTCTCATGCATAGGGAGCATACCTGTGATGATGAGACTTCTGATATTCAACCCTTGTAGATAAAGTTTCTTCCCTTGATTAGTATATACTCACCCAACCAAAACCCTTGATCACATATCATTGAGTTAATGCAATGCAAATGATGAATATGATGATGAAGCATAAGCTATTTTATTTATAAGTAAGACGGAAAATTTTGGAGTACAACAGCTACCAAGATATTACCTTGTGGTCAAAATCCAACTTACTTGGCAAGTACCAAAGCAGATACTTGTCCTTCTTCTCCATTCAATGTCATTCCTATATGTAGTGATTTACCTTGGCTTTCAGTGTCATTCCTGATAGTCCCTTTCTCACTTTATTCAAACATTTCCTTCAAAGTCTTTGTATTGACATTATTGTTACGTTACAAGTCTCCACCTCTTCCTTGTATTGGCATTATTGTTATGTTACAAGTTAACATTTCCTTGTATTAGCATCGTCACTATGTTACAAGTTAATCTTTGTCTTGTATTAGCATTAATGTTACGTTACAAGTTACCTTTGTCTTGTACTAACATTGTTTCTACGTTACAAGTTAACCTTTGTTTTTGTATTGACATTATTGCTACGTTACAAGTATCCACCTCTTCCTTGTATTGGCATTATTGCTACATTACAAGTTAACATTTCTTTGTATTAGCATCGTCGCTTTGTTACAAGTTAACCTTTGTCTTATATTAACATTATTGTTACGTTACAAGTTAACCTTTATCTTATATTAGCATCATCTCTACGTTACAAGTTATCACCTTTGTCCTTGTATTAGCATCATCGCTACGTTACAAGTTAACCTTTATCTTGTATTGGCATTGTTCCTATGTTGCAAGTTAACTTTTGTCTTATATTAGCATCATCGCTACGTTACAAGTTATCACCTTTGTCCTTGTATTAGCACCATCGCTACGTTACAAGTTAACCTTTATCTTGTATTGGCATTGTCCATACGTTACAAGTTAAACTTTGTCTTGTATTGGTATTGTTGCTACATTACAAGTTAACCTTCGTCCTTGTATTGGCATTGTTGCTACATTACAAGTTAATCTTTGTCCTTATATTAGCATCATCGCTACATTACAAGTTATCACCTTTTTCTTGTATTGGAATTATCGCTGCGTTACAAGTTAACCTTTTTCCTTGTATTGACATTATTGCTACGTTACAAGTTATCCCTCTTTCTTGTATTGGCATTGTCGCTACGTTATAAGCTCATAAAACCCTTCAACTAGAAAAACAGATTTCACTGCCCAGTAGAGCGTTTCTCACTTCATTCAAAGCCACTATTGAATGTCATAATCTTTTGTTGCCATCCAAAGCCACTATTGGATGTCATGATCATTTATTTTTGTCCAAAGCCACTATTGGATGCCACTGCTTTTCTTCAGGTTTACCCCATTCCTTCCCGAGTATTCTTGGACTTTCCTTGTCCCCTCGACAAATCTCCAAAAATATCTCGTGTTTCCCCAACGTGTCTTTCTATGTCATTTCAACTATAATAAATTTACAGTTTCAAGTCTTTCCGTATTCCCGCAGAGTCTGTCTCATATCATTCATCATTCAAAAAATGTATATAAAAAAGAATCATGCATTCATTGCGTTCTCGCCACACTTCATTCATCTCATACCCATTGCATCTCGGAGAAATTTTTTAGGTTCTTCAATATTTAACTATCTCTCACTACGATCATATGAAGCCCGATCATCTTCATATCATCTGGTTAAATATTTAAATAGGGACAATTGTCGTACTACAAATTTTATCCCAAATTTCTCATTTACATTGTTTAAAATCAGAAAAATTAACTTTCATTCGATTTATTGCATGCACATTAGCTTTATTTTTGTTTCAATTTAAAACTCTATTCAATTTTCTTTTTGATAACATTATTTTTGTTTATTTTACCTTTTTAATTTTATCATTAAAAAAATGTCAAATAAGTTAAAGTTTTTTTGGATTTAGATAAGTTAGTTTTAAGAAAATATTGGTTATTTTGTTAAAGTTTTAATCAAATAGAAATAAATATCCTCTTCAAATATCTAAAGAACAATGGCTATTTTTTGGGTTTTACCTAATTGTGTGGATAAGGTTTATAAGAGGGTTCATTCGGATATATACAAGGGAGTAGAATCAAAAACCAGAAAGGAACAAAAACGAGAAACGGCGAGGGAGAGAGAGAGAGAAATCCTTGATTCGCGACAACCTCCAATGCGTTCTCCTCCTTCAACTTCACAGCAACTCCTTCACCGCTTCAACTCACCGTTCAGCTCTTCCAACGCTTCTCAGCAACCTTCATTTCATCTTCAACAACAACAATCCATGTTTCTGACATCATCAACCATCGTTCAACCGTGACAAGCTTATCGCATCTCATCTTCAGACATCCATCATCATCCGTTCATATTCTGCTATGCTCCTCATCACAATTCATCGCAGCTTCCGCTCGTTCATCGTCACGACCACTGCTTGCTCAGCATCTCCGAAATCGTTCGGTAACCTTCGATCTCATTTCAGTTGTGTATAACTGTGATGCTGTGGAAACATACTGTTATATTTTCTGTGAAATAGTTTTATGATAACTCTGTGAAAAATAGCTGGTATGTACTGTGTTATTCTGGAAAAAATAGCTCGATGCTTGTGTGTTATAACATTGTGTTGTCTATTTGATATCGTTTGTGTAAATAATGTTAAGCTGGATTGGTCTTTTCACATTGAATTATAATCTTATATGCTGAAAACCCTGTGATACTGTGTATGAATCTGTGAAAATGTTATGCTGCTGAAAATTTTATGAACAGTGTGCTTGACAATGTATGTTTAATTTGTGTCGGAATGTGATGAGAGATTTGTGTCGATTGCATTTTGTTGGCTTATGTTGAAGTTGTTTGAATTCGATTGAAATCTATACCATGGTAATTTGTTCTCGTTTTAATGTCGATTGAAGTTGTGATGAATGATATTCGTGTTAGTTTCGATGAAGGTTTGATATTGATGTCGCGTTTATTCGCGTAGAATATGACCGAGAAACTATGGGGCAGCATGGTTGTTTTTTCTTGTTGCGAAAAAAGTATGTCATAACATCGTCCCGTTCCCGTTGTTTTGAATCTAGTCGAGTTAATTTTTGAAACACCATTGAATCTTTCAATTATTGGAATTGGTTTAGAACAAAGAATACATGTTATGCTGTTTTTTTCGATTCAAATGAGTTAACACGATTCCTTGATTATTGTTTCATTGGTGTTGGTTTCGAAAGAGTTAATTCGGGTGGCATTGTTTTTGGTTGTTTCTTATGGTTTTGAACACTTTAGAGTTGAATTTTTGAGTGTTGTTTCGTTGGTATAGTGGCTGCCCGAAATTTGTTTCAGATGATTTTTAGCTTGTTTTGAACTTGATGTATCATGTCGTGAATTTGAATTGAATTATAACATGATTCTTGAGTTTTTTTCATTTGCGAATTAAAATCATGTTTACCGTTCGCTTGATGTTGAATGAATTGAGAATGATGAATGCTATGTTGATTGAATAATGATTGAAATTCTTGATTCTTGAAAAGTGTTTCATCTTACATTGATGCAATTTTGTTGACTTAAGCTTCTTTCATCTTCTCAATTCCATTTCTATTTTTATTTTCATCTATTAGTTACACATTGTTTCTATTCATTGATGTTTGTTAATTAAAATAGATTAGTTGACTAATCTATTTTTATTAACTTGATTAATTAGTTCAATCGGTGTTTAACTAATATATTCTTATCTTTCTTTATTTTCATTTTCTATTCGGTAAATTGTATTCCTTTTCCCCTATTGTGATGTAAATATTTATCGCTTTCTCTTTTATATTTTAATCCTCATTCATAAACATTGTATCCCTCTCCCCTAAAGTTTGTAATAATTTAGTTTGCATTTACTTGATTATTCCATCATCATTTGCATGTGCACAACCAAAACACTTTTCAAACTAATATTCAATTGTGAATCATTTTCATCCCGTAAGTCGACAAAGCTTTTAAGTGTCACAATGACCACACATGCACACTTCCACGCTGGTTCCTGGGCCTTCTTACAGTATACTCCTATTCGATCAATTGTTTCAATTGATCGTTTAGAGACTAGTTCAGTTTTCTAGCTTACACTTAGAAACTAGGACGTGTGCTTTACAATTTATGTTTGTGTGAGCTACCTTGTATGAGTTTTTATCAATTTGTTTGTTATACTTCCATGAATGTTCACAATTATTCGTTTCATTTCCATCTCTCAGGCCTTGATCCACATACTAAGTATTCTATTAGGGTTTCATAATAGAGGATAAATTGTTTATTCTCTCGAGTTTGATCAAGTCACGTAGCTAGGTTAATCATGACCTGAATCCTTCTCAATCCATTCATAGCATTTAAAGCACTTTCATAACAAACTTTCAAATCTCGATTCAAAGAAGAGTTTTCTTTCTTTTTCAAAAAGGTCTCATGGTTGGGAGTAATCACTTGTTTATTCTCTCAAGATTATTCGAGCTTTCTTGGTTAATCACAACCCTTCTTTTTATCACCACATTCATAATAAAAAGTTCCAAACTTCGATCCAAAGTTGAGTGATTTTTCTTAAATAAACAAGGGCCTTATGATAGGGGGTAAACACTTGTCTATTCTCTCGAGATTAATCAAGCTTTCTTGATTAATCATAGCTTGATTAAAATACCTAAATGAAAGGGATAAGAAACTTATCTTACACCTTCCTAACTTAATCAAGAACAAGTAACTTTGTTTGGACTCAATTTCTCACTTTTTCATAAAGAAGACTAAATGAGATAGTTAAGGTACTTACTTTTTCTTTTTCTAAGTGTGCGGTTGGCCAATAACTTCCTTGGACATGTCTAAGCCCTTGTGTCCTATAAAAACAATCCAACTTCATTCAAACAATTTTATCACATGGCTTTTACACTTCAAAACCTTTTTTGAAGGGTGATTTTTTGTCCATCCGTGACGATGAAGCAACGTTTCTTACACATGTGAATATTAAGCCTTTTCCACTCGAATGTGAAACCTAAAAACTAAGTTAATTAATTAAATGAAAATCTAAAAATTAATTTGAGTTAATTAAATAAAAAACTAAAAATTAATTAGGGTTTGTGAAAATGTTAGGATTTTGACAAAAAGGTTTTGTAAAAAGGTTTATGAAAAAATAAGGAAAAAGTTAGAAGAATAGAGAATTGTGTAAAAAATAACCAAAGGGGTAGGGGTGGGTGTTGAATCCACGCCCTCAGCATCTTCACTCAACACATTCACCATCAGGCCAACCGCTCCTAGGTGTTAGGATACAACTTTAGCGCGTTTTGTTTAATCCTGCAAAACATGAAAATATTAGGAAAAATAAAATGGAAAAAGGCTGGATCGAACTCATGCCCTTTGATACCAATGACTTAACGTGCGCGCTTCAATCGCTGGGGCGGTAATACATTCGTCCATTTATATCAAGCCATAAATATATAATAAAAGAATGTGGCCTGAACCAGAGAGGCGCTGGAGCCCTAGCTCCGGTCTTCTTCTCCGGTTGCCTTCTTTTATCAAACCTGCAAGATAAACAGATTTAGTAATCCAAAAATATCCTACCCTCATAAGTCGAGGGTTGCGAGTTTAATGGAAGGATTGTTTTGGTCTAAAAATCAATGGTTTTTGAGTTATGAAGGAAAATGCATGGATCGGTGCTAACATGGTGTTCTACGATTTGGCGTACATGGAAGCATTATGATGATCCAAACATGTTCAGATACATCTCAGAAGCATGTTAGTAACATTAGTTTGGCTTAAAACAAAAATTAAAATAGGAACTTTGCAAAAAATATGATATCAAAGATGCCATGCGATGGTGTTTCATTCGTTTTGGACCATCAAATTTGATCCAATCTTACTCTGTATGATTGTTGGGAATGAATGGAGTGGCTGTTTGGTAGTGAAAGGGCATGTGATAAGGGTTTGAAGATTTTAGGGTTCTTGAAAAGTTTAAAGATTTTTGACAAGTTTTGAGGCAAAGTTTTTCGTGTGTTTGGCTTGTATGAAGTGGAAGAATATATATCTTGCATTTAGGTCAGAATTATAATGGGTATAAACTTGTGTAATAAACCTCATATTTTATCTTATTTATTTTGCATTATTAATGAATAAATTAAAATAATCAAAATAATTAAAATAAAAATAGGCCAAGGGGTGCATTAGTAAGACGTGAGGTTTATAAGAAGTGTAATACACATTTGGACTTTAGAACAATGGTCCAATAGTCTAAAATATAAGTTTGCTCAATTTGAACTTCATGTATTTACTCAAAATTTCCCAACTTGCACTAGTCATAACTCTCAATTTTCATCTTTTAAAGGTGATCTTGAACTTGTTGGAAAGATCAATCCCTCTTTTGATAATTTTTGCATTTGGAGACTTTATCTTGATGTAAGTTGCCTTGACAAAAAGTGTCATTTTGTTGACTTTTGAAATGACCTGTAATGTATTGGCTCATATATCTCAAATGAAGCATTTTTTGGACTTGAGCTTAGAGAATAAAAGTTATAGAGAATTGAATTTCCTTCAAAATGAGCTTTTGTTGGAGAAGATCTGATGAAGTATGTGAAAGTTATGCCTGGTCAAAGTTTAGTTGACTTCTCTTAAAGAAACCCTAGTTTGATAACTTTTGACTTTTGATAATTTGAGGGTTTTTCTTGATGAATCATGATCAAACCTTGATCAAATGATGAATATTACTTTAAAACCTTGATGTTGACCAAAAATCTTAAAGTTTGACTGTATGTTAACCATAATTGACTTTTTACCCAATACAGTTGATTTTCAGTCATCTGAGGCATTGACTGAGCAAACTTGTGATGCAAGGCATGAAACTTGGCATGAGAATTCTTGAAGACCTATAAGAGACCATTCAAACCATTTGAGACCTTAGAAACCTAAATTTCCTTATGAAAAGTGAAACCATATTTGTGGACCCATTGCTTAGGAAGAGAACTTGTCTGATCAACTCTTGAACAACCTTGAGCATTTGAGAACCTCGTAGAATGTCTTGAATAAGACGGGAGGGAAAATTTTGGGGTACAATAGCTTCCCCTGTTCAATCTTCTTAAAACTGAGGAGTTAGATTGGCGCGCTCGCCATTCGTGATCTGAAGGTAGAAGAGGATTGAACATTTAAGTGCCCAGAAATTTGCACTCGCCTGTGCAAGAAGTAACACCATTGATTGATAATATTGATTGAATTGGCTTAAAGATTCCATTCGGGGAGGTGACAGAGTGTCTTCGGAGATGAGCTTATAGATGCCATCCAAGGTAACTGTTGATAGGAGTATCAGAATGAGTCTACGCTCGA